TACCCCCTCACAGTGGCCCCAGAGTTTAAAACCTCTCCTATGTTAATTTAAAAGTCTGAGACAAATAGCATCGGAATGAACTACGCATCAGATTTAGATGACTCTGCCCAGTTTGTACTTATAAACTTAACTGTGCTCAGTGCTTCTCCAATGCAGTGTTGGGCCTGGCCTAAGGTGGACATTCCCAGGCCACAGAGCTGATGGAATGGAATGAGACCTTGAACAATGCACAAAAACCCCACTAGAGCATTTCTACATCATGACTCACAGTTATACTCTTTGACTTCATGTCACTGTGACACAAGGTCACAATTTGACAAGGTTCTGGAAGATTCATCCACACAGCTATTACCTGACTCCATATGGGCAAGAACATAGGCCTGGTGGCTCCCACACTGGCATTCTCAGGGGATGGCTCTTCAGGCCAGGGTTTGTGGCAAATGGGGCAATGCAGCTCTGCAAGGCACAGGCGCCTCTCTGTGCCAGCACTCACTCCACCTTGTGCTGGTGTTGCCTCTGTGGGGGCCTCTGCAGTGTCCTCCCTACTTCAGTGGTTCCTGCCTCTGCCTGCTATGCCACAGCTTGGTTTCAAAGCCAGATGAAAGCATCCATGCACCAAACATCTTAAGATCTGTGCCCTGTACAAGGAGTGTGTCATGGAGTCCATGGACAGACATGGTCTGTGAACACTGTCAGATAATTTGCCGAGGCCCATTTTCTCTTGGAGACACAGGTGCTACACATGTGGTTAGTGAAGAAACCCCCAAAAATATTTACAGCTAATACTTGAGAAAACTCTAACAAATGAGAATGGAGATCACAGATTGACCATCAATGACCCTGTCAGTCTCACAAGTCCCTGTAATCTGGCCCTGTAGTGGGAGTGACAGGCTCTAAATGCCATTTGGTTCAGTTTCATATTTTCCTGTGAATCAGAATCTGGCTTCTTTCAGCCTGTGCTGCTCTCCCTATCACTTGATCCCTTCACAGGACTTGAGTGTTCACTTTAGTAAATCTTTTTTATTTATAACTTGGCAGGTCTGGGAAATTTCCTTCCTGATAAGTTTTCCTTCCTTTGAGTTCTTATTCCACACTGTCCTGTTGCTCCTTTCAATCACTGTATCATTAGAAATGAAATCTATTGTACTATTTCTCCACACCTGAACTTGTCTGCTGTATTATGCTTATAAATCTATTCTGGTGTCAGCATCAGTGAGTCACTGAGATTTTCCAGTAAGTTTAGAAGTCTAAATTAGGTTTGCGCACTGTTTGTTTTTTTCCAGAAATGCATTAGGTGTTATAGATTTGGCCTGTCTTTTTTAATGGAACTCTGCTTGAATTATATCCACAAAGACTAAGATCAGAATTTACATGTACAATTCAGGCAAATTTTGCATATTAAACCATTTTTGATTTTACTATGACAGTGCTTAATCTGTGTGTTCATCATGATAAAAGGAAATTTATGACTATTTCTAATTATTCATTGTAAAATTCATGACCCCATAGTTCCTGGAAGCTGTAGGTAAATATTCAGAATGCAGTTACTGTGAAAAGTTTAGATGTTATATGCCACCGGAGTCACAGAGCAGGGGAAGTTTGTATTCATTAGGCTATTTCAAGGCATACTCATGCAGCAACAAGAACATTAAACTAATTTCTCTCAGGGTAAAGAATATCCATGTTTATGTAAAATTTATTTGATTATCCTTTTTAATTAGTAGAACTTTAGGAAGTTAGTTGCCATGAGTAATTTTGTAGGCACATCAGCTTCTATGATTTTATGCAAATGTGAATTTTCAATACTCTCAATTAATTAACTAAAGATATAAATCCTATGAAGAATTCATTTTGTAAATTTTAATATATACTAAACTGCTTAGAACAGCTGTGAAATCACACAATCTCATCCTCTTTGCTGAGGGCTCTAATGTCAGTGCATCATCATCAGTACGTGTTCTGCCTGTTATTTTTACTCTAATCTTACAGTGCAGCATAAAGCAACAGAAACCTGATATTATTTTACCAAATTTTGAAGGTAGATATAAGCACTGTGATTTATTTGAAGCTTAGGAGAATTTTACAATGAAAGGAAATCCACAAATGGAATGGGGAAATCTCTAGTTTCTTTGACCATGTCAGGGTGTGGAGAATGCAAGCATCAAAAGGGACAGCAAAATATTGGATTTATAAAAAAATTCCCACTAACATTGTACTGCTGGCTGCAGGCTTAACAGCATGTACTCACAATAATGAAGTTTCAAAATTTGAATTGGAGACATTGCTGATATCTCACAGATTTCAGTAAGTTTGTCAATTATTCGGGTTGATAGATATAAAATGTTACATAGTATAACTTGCATGAAGACGATGTAATGAAAGGCACACAGGGCCCATCATTACTACATTTCCATAGGGGGAAATGAGTCACAGGAGGATAAGGAGTGAAGAGGACCCGGGGTTTCAGCAGCTAAAGTCCCCCATGTTCTCCGAGAAGCTGCTCCTGTGCTGGGACAAGGAAGGGGTGGCTCCAGGGAACCCTGTTCCCCCTGAGGGATGCTAAGTTCCCTCAGAATGGACTGCACAACCCTAGGCTATTAGAAGCAGGATATGTGGGTCCTGATCTCTGAAGAGGTGAGGATTGTTACTGGGCTCACACTGAATGCCCCTCACTGTGGCTCCAACTTCCATCCAGACTGTTACCAGATTTCCTGAGCTTCACTGGGACCTTTGCCAGACGACCACAGCAGAATTTTATTTGACTCAAGTGATAACTGGGGTCCTGCAAATTGGAGAATGTGTTCTTCTTTAAAAATAAACTGAGACTTCAGAGGTAAGAAAACACATAAAAGCAGAGAGTCAGGGATAAGAATCATATGCAGAAATTTCCAAACCTGACAGTAAACAATATCTACCTTCCTTTCATGTTCTCTTGGTCTGTATACATTAAGCAAAGTTGCAGATAGAATATATTGAGTTGAAAGAATAGATGAAGGTAGATATTTTATTATACATCTGTACTGGTACAGAAAAAATGATATTTTGAAATGAAGAATTTTATACTGTCAACTGTTTTTAAGAAAAGAAAAAAAAAAGAAACACTTTATTTCATGCAATAACCTTTTGTGGTGATTATCAAGAAAGAAAAGACCAAAGGAGCTGTTTTGTCTTTCTTGTCTATTTTTTCTTCTTTCTTTTTTAAGTATTGGACTGAGTCTAAAGATTAGAAAGATCCTTATTTTCCTTAATGGGCACTTAGTCAAATAATATCAGCTCACCCTCTAAATAAATGTCCATGTGTGTCACTCAGTCTCACAGCAGTTTGAGAACAAGGGCAGGAGGACAGAATAATGAGTCAGTGCTTTATATTTGATGATCTGTGTCACATAACCTTGATACAAATTTGTGAAATCAAAGCTGTGAACAAATTCGACAATTTTTCTAATGTCTGAGTAATTTTAAAACATCATACATTTCAATATCATAACTGAGTGCTTTAGTTTATTACAATCTTTATGATAATGCAAAGAACTGCAAAATTAAAGCTATGTAAGGCCTCAATGTTACAACAAATATTACAAACAAAATTAGAGATTTCTCCTATTTGGAGAAGAGTGTGCAATGGGTATTTGCTTAACTGCAGATAAGAGTATAACTGGAAAAATTTTTGCATGGTAAATGCTGAATTTCATGGTGGAAATCATTATTTTTAATGCACCAAATTTAATGAGACCTCTTGATATCATACTAGGTATCTGTATAGTACATATCTCTACAGATTTTAGTAATTAGTAAATTACTAAATTTAGTAATTTAGTAATACAAACAAATTTTGTTGTTTTTTTTAATTCAAGAGAGCATAAGAAATGAGCAGCATTGATATGTAAACACTCAACTATATTTCAGTTGAAGCTTCCAGTTTCTCATTAAACTCAGTTTTGTACTTCCAACAATGTGTGCATAAATTGTCCATCTAACACCTGAGGAAATCAGATTTACCCTCCAGTGCCAGATGTGGAAAACCTCAGGTGGCAGTGGACTTCCCAACTGTCAATTCGCTCCCTCTCCCACAACTTCACAGCCCCACAATCAAGGTCAGTAAAGGTCATCATAAAGCTCAGGGGCCTCACAGCATCCTTTCCATTGTCTCTTCACACCTGGAACTGCTGTCAGATGACTTGCAATGCAGGAGACATTCAGTGCTGTGTACTCAGCCAGCCTTGGTTTAAGTGGCCAATGTTTTCTCTTTCCCACATATGTACACTTGTTTTGAATTTATTTACAATATGTGCTGTGCCATTTAGATTTTCATTTTTTTGAATAAATTTACAACATTGAAACACTTCAGGTGATAGTTAAAATATACATGAAGACTTGATCCAGTGTCATCTCAACCATATTATATCTGCATATTTCAGGAATTTATTAATGATATTTAATGGAAAAAGGTAAATATATGAAATAATCAATATGTGAACTTTATCAGTGATGTTGGCCTAGAACCAACTTTGAAGCTTAAAATTATAGAATTAACTAAAAAAAATCACAACTATTTAAATCTTTGAAGGCCTTCATTCTCAGTATCATCAATTTTATTGAATTAATTCCTCACTAAAGTGTGTAGATTTAATTATTTTTTCATACAGCATGATGTGATTTTTCTCTGTGGGTTGATGGGAATGTCACTTTAGTTTTCATATAGCTGATATAATTCTTGTTTTTACATTATTATCTTAGTAGATTCTTTCTATGTGTATACCATATATATATATATATATATATATATATATATATATATATAGTCATGTATTTAAAGCCATTTTTAAAATTTTAAACTGTATATTTCTAAATTATTTATATATTATATGAAACACTTAAAATATTTTTTCTTCACTATTCAAAGTATAGAAAACGCAAAATTCACACTCTCAATAATGGATTTCCTAATTGTATTACAGTATTTTATTGTATTAATTGTTTTGGGGGTATTTTAAGTAGACAATGAATTATTTGGGTTTTTATATGACATTTTACATAGTTCAGATTTTAATTCTTTGTTTCTCTGATCTATTACTTGTATAATTACTTTTTTAAATGTCATGAAGCCCATATGAAACAAAATGCTTTAATGCCTGTACTCTTGGGACATACTCTGTGTTCCGCTTGTCTCGCTCGCCCCCTGCTGGTCCTAAGCACCCCTGCACGGAAGTTTTTGTCTGGGCTCACACTGATGTTTCCACACTGTGTCTCTCTCCAGCACAGTAATACACAGCCGTGTCCTCGGCTCTCAGGCTGCTCATCTGCGGATACAGCGTGTTCTTGCTGTTGTCCCTGGAGATGGTGAATCGGCCCTTCACGGAGTCTGCGTAGTATATGCTACCACTACCACTACTGATGTATGAGATCCACTCCAGCCCCTTCCCCGGAGACTGGCGGATCCAGTTCATCTCATAGCTACTGAAGGTGAATCCCGAGGCTACGCAGGAGAGTCTCAGGGATCCTCCAGGCTGCACCAAGCCTCCTCCGGACTCTACCAGTTGCTCCTCACACAGGACACCTGCAAACACAGAGACGTTCTGCTCAAGAAGCTGTCACATATGCCCATTGTTTATCCCACTAATGCCACTCACTCACACGTTTGGTATTTATTATTTTTCATAAATTACCCTTTAAAGTAGCAAGAAGCAAAACCCAGCTCAGCGCCAGCTCCATGGTGAACCTTCTGTGCTCAGTGCCGATCACTAAGAGGGAACAGCTGGGCACCAGGGTTAGAGCCCTCTGCAGAGCTGTAAGCATGAGGGCTGGGCTGGTTTTAATCAACACAGGGAGGCCCTATTTGCATGGCGTCCTGTATATATGGCCAGTTCTATTCCTGAAGTCTCAGAGAGGGAAGAGTCCAAAGCACATGAGAGTGTTTTGAGATTTGTTTTGTAATATCCCTAGTATACTGAACACAGTATACTGAAGTGGTTCCTTCCTATGTGTAACATCATCTACTTTTTTTATTCTTGCCAATATGTTATTAGTGGATTGGGTAACTTCACAGGAGTGCAGATGTGTACATAAAATGAGAAGCATAATATCCTGTGGTATGTGACATTATAGACTATAAAATCATGTTGTCTATGAGGTCCTACAGTCTTCTCACAGAACTCAACAGCTTGCTGAGGAGTTCCAATGACAGACTGGTCAAGCTGCACGATGATTGTCACATGTCTTCTTCTAATGAAGGAATTCAACAGTATTATTGTGTATCTTATTCTATTCATAAATGGATCGACAACCAGCATCTTTTTAAAAAACATGTTCAAGAATCTGAGAGCTTATCTTACCTCTGGATAGGTAATATACCATTAAACATACACTAATTATATAGCTTATGCTAAAATAAATATAACATTTATTTTAAAGATGAATAAGTGATATACTTTTTGAGAGAATTATACTGAGTTAAATATCCACAAAACCATGCCCATTCTCGATACCTAATGCATCTACTCATAAATTCTCCAGTCATTTTCCATAAAATTCCCTTTCTGTAAAAACTTGCATTCTGTTCTTTTGTAAACTGAAATGTTTATTACTGTGACTGTTCCTTCTCACGGTGACAAAAATATCAGGCTACTTTTGCATGATGATCATGAGACTTGTGTATTCCAAAGCATCTATGTTCCATAGATTCACAGTATTTTTTCTAGAATATGCAGTATTTTCAGCCCTCCCATAGGAGCTCAAACAAAGGAGATGATAAAATACAGGTGTAAATGCATTCTGTCCACAACAAAAATGCCTTCCATCCTCTGCACTGCGGAGACCTCACCTGTGAACTGGAGAGGGCACACTGTACGCTCTCTGCAGTGTGTGTGAGGCTAACACAGAGGGGAAACTCAGACACTGAACGTTGTGAAGCCCTTAGTCTGGGCTTTTCTTCCCTGAACCACCTATGGAGTCGCTCCTGCTTTCCTGAAGATCCCGAGGACACTGTGCTGGTTCAGAGTTTCCCCACAGGTCCTATGTACCAGGTCCTGTGCACCTGCTGCTGATCCTAAGCGCCCTCTGCTGGTCTGTCCACCCTGTACATAGCTTTGTAGCTAGGCTCACACTTCGATGCCCTCAGAAAATGTATTGCACCGTGCAATACGGTTGAGTTTTCCAGGGATATTGAAAACAGTCACTCAGAGAACTTTTTCTTGGTTTTAGAAACGCTGACATGTCAGGGATGATTGACCAATTATCCCTCCACTGTTACTGTCCTGCTACATCCACTCAGTTTCTTGCTGACAGCTGAAGGAACCAGCTCTAGGGGCAATGTCCCATAGCTGCACTAACCAGAGCAGGTGAGGCTGAGAGGAAGGGTCTGAGAGGGCTTCATGGGCTCTAATATGGTCTCTTGCAACACTAGCTGAGATGGGACAGTGAGATAACAGGGCAAACCCTGAGATCAGAGGCAGAATCTCCACATCCTTCTGTCTGAATTTTCCTACACTCACATATGGGAGACATCGCCTAAAAGAGGAGGACCCAGCATTTATACTATGTTCTTATAATCCTTTTTTTGTTTGTTTGTTTGGGTTTTTTTTTTATCTGTACCGGGGATCAAACTCACGGCTGCCTGCTTGCAAAGCAGGTTTTTATGCCTCTGAGCTAAATTCCCAGCCCCAATATACTATGTTCTTGACAACTAACGTTAACAATCTCTGATAACATCTTAAATATTGAGAAACAAATCACATTAATGAAATGTGCAATATGATCTTATCTGGTAGCTCAAAAACATTTGCATCTGCAATGCAGTCTTACACATGAAGATCAGAAGGAGACAGAGGATGGACAAATTTTTGTGTTGGTCTCTGGGTGTAGGATGCTGACTGAGCCCTCTAAGGAATCAACAATGTTCCTCGAGTCCATTGCTCAAGGCCCAAACCTCCTAATCCTGGACAGGACATGGAGGTGAAGAGCTGGTCAGGGAGCTGGCTGTGTCTGAAGATGAAAGAAAACTCTAGGAATATGAAAACCAGCACACAGGTGCCAAAGATAACAGGACTGTGAGGTGCACACAACACATGTGCATAACACACAGCACCAGTTCACATTCTATGTGCATCTATTCACATCCATTTCAAGGTTATTGCTGATATCAATTTGCATTCTCCATTCGGTATTTGCTCATTTAATCATTGGTGGAAACCAAGATTTTGAAATGGATAACATATTGTTAGTTTCTCACTGAAGTGAGCAAAAAATGTCTAAAGATTATCATAAGTTTTGTAGACTTTTCTAAACTCATCTGATTGTAATTCTCTTTGTGGGTGTGAAATGCATTCATGGGTTTCTGAGAATCTTCTTCCCACACATTAATGTTTACATGTGTGTAGTATAATTTCTAGCCTCTGTGAAATGCTAATGAGTTTTTTACTGACACATTTGTGCTGTAGCAAAGTGACTTGCTTGAAGACACCTGGAGCTGTCCACTCCCTTCTCTGTGGAGAACAATGCTGCATATGAATCTCAGAGCAGAGCACAGAGCCTTCAGGTGAAAGGCTTTCAGCTGTGATGAGGATCACACTGGACTTTAGCGGGCTATCATCCAACCAGAAGAATCCAGCTCTTATTTACTATTGGTGCATGGAAAGGCTTTCCAGTAAGATGCAGCAAGAACCCTCACGATTCCTTGCTACTGAGTTACACAGCAAATGCTTTAGTGGTTACCTGAGGTAAGCACGGAGAGATGGAATCCAACAATGCTTTTCATTAAATCTCCTTAACGAATTCCTGTGTGAGATTACATCCTTATTAATTCACCCCGGAGTAAGGAAATTGGGAAATTGGTGTGAGGATTACTGAATGAGTCAAAATAGAGTGCTGAGCACAGCTCCATCCCTCCTCACAGGGAGACACTGAGCTTGGGGAATACACAATCTGACCTTCAGTGTGAAGAGGAGCAAATGTTGGGTGAAGGAGTCATTCTGTATGTGACTGCTTCAGCAAGGAGAAAATAGGCTCCAATGTCATTTCCACTGCTGTTAGTGCTGTTTGTCTACTTTTGAGACAGATTAATCCTATGGGAACTTGACTATGTGATCACACAAGGCAGATATTCTGCTGTGTTATTGTGTCACAGCTGGGACTGGGACAGCTCCTTGAACCTGAGCCCATGTCTCTCTCATTACGGTGACACATGAGAATCCATGTTCTTTTAACTATTTGATCCACATCATCTTGACATATGACAAAAAGCCTCCCAGCCTACTATATATCCAGTATGAGTTCATGTTCTCTAAAATTGATGAATGAATTTTAGGAACAATGTACATTAAGAGCAGTATATATTTATAGAGAGAAAGAAAGCTCCTTTCTGAGAGACAGAAGTGGTTCTGAGTGGGTGGCCAAAGACTCTGTCTTTTCTAGGGACTTCTATATAGCAATACAACAAAGTGAGACATGGCCAAGGTGGGGAAAATATGGGAACACACAGGGTGGGCGTGAAGTGGGACAAAACTGTGATCACAAGTAAGGTTAACTATCAGGTAAAATTGATTAAGTTATTGACAAATGGGGATGCAAGTTGTATAGCAAGCAGGCAGGAACATAGAGCATTGACTCTTCTTATAGTGGGTTGGGATGGTTTCTCCTGGATTTAGAGAGTGGCAGAGACCTATGTACAATATCAGTTCTTAGGATGTGTGTGTATGTGATTGATCTTTGTCTTTATACCTAGCCCAAAGTGGGAGGCGTCTGTCTCTGCCTTAGATACAAGGTATCTGGGCTTCTACACTGGATCCTTTGTGGGCCTAGACCTGTCTGATGGTCTATAACATGTATATCTAACTGAGCTGCTTATAACAATCCCTCCTCTGAAGAAGTAACACAAACTGCCATGAGGGAGTAATGGGCAATGATCGATCTGGCTTCTCTAGGCTGAAGGGGTTCGTAGTTGATTAGCAGTCATATATACTCTGCATATATTCTATCTAATGACTTCTATATATACCAGATATTTTTATCTTGATTAAGTATACAGCTATAAGACTGGAGTGTTGGTGTCGCTCCCGGCCGGCAGGAAAAACACACGACAGATTCTGACGGTGTGCAACCTTGTCTTTATTTGTCTCCGCGTGGGCCCTGCGAGGCCTCCGCTCTGCCACCAGACCTTTCTCACCGGTGGACTTTCTCTATCTCTCTCTGTGCTTCTCTCTCGTGGCGGGAGAGGCATTTACTTTTATAGGGTAACAGTGGCCAATCAGTTCAAAGCGCGCGATGCGGGCTGATTGGCTAACATCAGTTGTTGCTAGGCAGACTATCTTACAGAGCGGGTTGTTTAAGTCGCCAGGGCAATCAGGGGGCAGGAAGCAGGCGCCATTTTGGCTCACTCGATGGGAGGGGTAATCTAGCTCAGGCTTTGCTCTTTTCTACAGGCCTCACGTCCGCCAAGTAAGGCGACCGGTGTCGGCCGCGGCTCCCAACATCTCCCCCTATTTTATTTACTTTGAATGAATGTATGCATCGCAGCCCGCCCTGGATTGAGTGCAGAGGCTTATGCCCTGTGTTGAGGCCCACCGTAGGCCCTTGGCTTGGACCCTGGTCGGCCGCCCCCGGGTCCGCCAAGGCCTTGAGACCCTCGTCCTTTTTCCAGGGCCAGGAGTGAACTGGACGGAACCTGGATGCACATAGGCATGCACTCATGCCCCTGCGTGTGATCCCCTCGGAGAGACATCTAGATCTGGGCAGATTCTAGTAATCCAGCGGCTTTCGTGCAGTATGGGGTAGGGCCTGGCTTAGGTCGAGTCGTGCTGGGG